AACATCAAATGCCCCCATAACACTCCATGATTTTTTCTAGTCCATTCAGGTTGGTGTAAATCCGGGGTATCGGGGCACTGCTCACCTTGATGTTCCAACTCAGAAGCGCTTATGATCTTGGGCTCTAACCTGAATTGCGTTAATAAAATATCTCAGCAAGAAGCTGCTGAGCCACAGTATCTGTTTTGTTGCTACTTCCAAATAACATCTTGCTATTGTTTTATAGACCCTTCAGCAGGGGGAGACAGTGCCATGTCAGAATGTGAAGCAGAGCTGTCACTTCAGGGTGTAGGTTTTCCCCCTCTTCACCTCCTCATGGATTCAGCATATTAGTCATGAAGCACATCTGTCACAATTTATTTTTAGGACAATAAAGTAACCCATCTGCTGAGCATTTCCTGAAGTAGGAATTTTCTACTGCATATTAACTCTCCACCCCTAAACCACCTGCCGAGTCAGGTCTTTAAAAATACACAGACACTGACCAACGTTCTTGGTAATTATTGCTGTACTTCTAAAGAAAGATGTTAGTTTCATGAAAGCATGTGTGTGTAACAAATATTTTGTACAAGTGTTACAGACTGAAAGCATGGCACTAAATGTCAAACCTATGGGATGATAATCTCCCTTCTTGAAAACAGCTCAGACTTGCAAAACTTCAAAACGTATTTGAAATAGGGCGTGTTGTCCTAATTCTGTGCTGGACACATAAGGTACCATAAACCTTTGGTGAAGCAGGAGTATGCTCTGTGTTGTAGTATGAAAATGTAACGTTGTTCACTATTAATTTTACTCTAGGTATAAAAGAAAAAGACATTATTAAGTTCTACACTAATTCATGTGTTTCAGCGCATGCATGAATTATTCAGGAGATTGTACTGTCTTTGGCCTCAGTGTTTAAGGATAAAGCCTTAATCTTCAGATAATGTTTGTTTCACACTTTCCTTATCAAAACCTCATGTGTCTACAAACAGCCTCAAATTCACTCTGCCATTACTGTATTGCTTGCTGTGAAGAGGCACTGTCTCCTTTGCATTCTTTGGGAATTCAGTCTATCTTGTGGTCTTCAACAATGAGAAAACCCATAAGGAAATAGCTACACCAAATCATAAACTAACTGGTCTGCTCCTAGGGAATAGAAGTTTAGCTCTGTTGGAGCCTTTTATAATCTCACGAGCAAAGGAACAGAGGAAACTGCTTGCTACTTACTACCTCAGATTCTGAAGCATAATATAAAGCCTCCAGGAGCAGAGTACAAATGATGCATTTTGTGAGAGGGACAGAAGGGACTGCATGATGTAATCAGGGTTACAAACATCCTTTTCTTCATATGCATTTTTCTTCTTACACAGCCACAGTTGCCTGTCTCTCACAAATCCTGTAATCATTGTTGCAGCCTTGCAACCATCAGTTCAAGTCATCATCCACTAAGCTTTAATGCCAAAAGCAATGTAATTGTGTGCTGCCCTGTCACCAGGCAATCCCACTGCACTAACCACAATATGTGATTATGGGCGTGCATGCTTGCTGCCCAGCTGTTATGGAGGTTTAGTAACATTTTGCAGTTTTTCAGAGAAGCCTGAGATTTCATGTCAGAAGAAAAGGAATGCTAATAGTAAAAGCATTCACAGCTTTGAAAGGACAGTGTTAAGAACTGTAACTAAATATTCATACTAAGGATGTTATTATCATCTGGGCTTTTAGGGTACTGCCTGAATGGATGAAATGAATTCTCTTTCCATTTACCTCAGTGGCCAAATTTACTTGCTTCAGTGGGAATAGGATTAAACTCTTTGATAACAGAATTTCCTGAAGAAGCAAATCTGTCCATGGTCATGGACAAATCTAATAATTTTTCTGCTCTAATCATCTTATGCCTCAAAGAGGCACTTCTACCCTAGAGGGGCTAATATTTACATAATTGTAATTTATTGCATAAAGATTCTTCTAACACAAAAGAACATCAAAGTGTTTGTCTTCATCAAGTTCCAGAACAATTCTTAACTTCACATGGACGTGAAAGGTAGAGGGGAATACTTCCTTGGACCAATTATAGAGAAATGGCACGCAATATTTGAATTCATTTAGGCTGTTCGAGTATTTTCAATGAAATGCAATTAATGTTTTGTGACAAGCACTTATCAGTGCCGTCACTGGACATAATGTACATGGCTGTGGGGGTTTTGTTGGAATATCTGATTAAAATAATTGGTTATGTACTTCAGCAGGGTGTTTGTGGTATCTTTATGGGCAAAACGGTATTTATGTAAAAGAGAGTTTTCCATGGCATTTAATTTCTCTCTAAAGAATAATATTGGGTATTGCAATTTCAGTAGCTCTACCACAGAATATGTGTTCAGGTGGAATACTGATTGTTTATCGCTTATCCCAGGCTGTAATAACTCTAAATGTGCTGCTTTTCAGTATTTAAATGCAGGCTTGATTACTTAATGCATTCACATTCTTCTGTTCAAATTCTTGATCTCCTTTTAATTGGTCTCAGGTAAATTTAATTCAAATAACTTAACTCACTGATGCAATTCTAGACTGCTTATTGTATAATAATCTGGAAATGCTTTAACGACATAAATTACTCAGTTTAATTGATTAAGTTTCCCACAGATGGGGGAAGTACTGTGCTCTTTCTACAGACAAGAAAAAGGAGTAATGGAAGCCCAGGCTTAGGAAATAAACAGGAAAGAGCCTCAAATTCAACCACAGCAGTTTGACTTCAGGTTTTTTTACAGCTGTAGATCATGAATTTTCAGAATTTTCCAGGACATGAGCAAGACCACTGAGAATGTTGCAAGGACCTTGTGTTTTGTTTTAATGAGGGGAAGGAAGGCTGTTGGAAGTACCTTTCGTGAGATTAGTGTTGCAGTTGAAGAAGGGTTAGTAGAGAGTTTACAAGCCACAAGTACATGACAGAAAGGAATGGGGGAATGGCTCGAGGAGGAATTAGGAGCAGCTTCCTAAGCACGCTCTCAGCCTGAAGTGGTTTTCCTCCTGTTAAAACTTAGAAGATGATCTTAGCTGTCCTCTAGTTTCAAGAGGAAGGCTAGGAGATTTAATATGTAAGGCTTGGCCTTTTATACTTTTTTTCATTTGAATGAGAGAGAGATTTGTGTTCAAGCCCATTTTCTGTGGATTTAGTATACAATATAAAAATTGCCTAGGAAATTTGAACTTTTTGTAGTGCAAATGCAAGTAAAAAACCCATATACAATGCACAGTGTTTTGTTGAAATATTTGAATTAGAAATAAATTGGTTTCAATAAAATTCTTATCTTTTGTCATCCCAGGTTTATTAAATATTTCAATGTCAGAAAAGCTCACTGAATTTTTTTTTTTTTTTAGCTTTTGCATTCATAGCGGATGGGAATGATTTTTAAATTCGCTTTATACTGACATTTATGCTACAGACTTTACTGTAGACTTTCTTCTTTTCTAGCTAAGGGTGTTAACATGATAAGAAAATTCTGTTGCTAATGGTTAAATATTGCCTAATCACTATTTGTACTCCATGAGTTACCAGTGGGAGTAAAAGCTCTGCACAGTTTAATTTTTTGGTGGGTTTTTGTGTTTTTTTGTTGGTCTGTTGTTTTGTTTTGTTTTTTGTTTTTTCTCTGTAACTCATTAGGTAAGTTTTTCGTTATTGATTTAATCATGGACAATTCAAAACAGGTAAATAAGAAATAGGAGGAAAGGTAATGTGAAAATTACTAGTAAAGCTGATAAAAGCAGCAAAGTAATGGCTCCACGTTCACTTTTCCACCTACCCATAAAAAAATTAGCATTTCTAATGAGCACCTTGGAAGGAAGATCGTGACTCAAAGGCTCATGGTCCCTGGTTGGGACTGCATTGGGCAGATGGGGTGGTGTGTGAGACTGTAGGATATAAAGGCACAAGGTTTCCTTTTTGTGAAAGAAGAGGATTTGACAAGGGTTTACAGTCTTCTTCAGCTTGCAAATTTCAAATTGCTCCTGGATCCCACGGTTCTGTTGAGATTTGCTGCAGGAAATTAATTAGTGTTTGTGTGAAGCACTGCAGTGGGTCATATTCTTCTCATTTCCAAAGCAGCTACATGATTAGGATCAGTTTTGAGTGTATTTTTCTCTTTGGTTTTGTTTATTAGTAGAAATAATAGATAGTGAAGAGTTGTTCACCACATCAAACATTCTTGTGTTTTGGGATTTTTATTAATTCTCTCAGTGAAATTCCTGCTTTATTGCTTAGTAGTCATAACAGTAATTGCTCTACCCACTTTTATTATCTCGAGAGTTTTCATGATTCTCATTGACCTCATAGATGAAATACAAAACTTGGATTTTTCTGTTGCAGTTTAGTCTAGGAAGATTCAAAAGTAACTGACATAAATAGTCCTGTAAGGCATTGGTTTAGGGCTTGATCAGTCACATATTGTAATCAATAGGTTTCTTTGTGCTAACTAGTCAGGGCTTAAAATGACCTTGTCTTAAATGGCTATTTTGTCAGACATTTATTTTCATATCTTCCACTTGATTTTACTGCACCAGGAAGTTCAGGAGAACAGTATTTGGGTTTAGTGACTAAGCCTTGGGGAAAGATGATTATTATTATCAAGCATAAACAGTGGGAGTATTCAGATGGTGCTGTAATGAGGGTTGGATTGCCTTGCTCCAGTTTGTACTGGTAATGCCACTAAGAGATTTACAGGCCCAGAGTGTACTGTGGTATTCCTTGTTCAGGGAGGAGATATGCTATTTGCAAATGTTTTGGTTGCAAATATTAGCAGCCCTTTAACCTAAAGAAATCCTCAAACTCGTGCTGCTCAAAGTTTGTGAGTTTTCTGTGGAGGCAGAATGGTCTCCTGTGCTACCCGCCCCCACCTCTGACCCTTGCATTGCTTTGGCACTTCTAGCTGAAACATTGAATTTTAAATACTTTTCTTCACTGGCAGAACCTTCGTGTGATGTTTTTGCAATTTTTTTTTTTTGTTTGCTTCAATTATATTATATAGCTGATAGTGGCTAGAATTAAGGATGGAGTCTCTGGAGACCCTCTCTTCTCCCCTGTCCTCTGGACACCCATGCTGAAATGTCTTCTCTACTGGCTCTTAATAATGCAATTGCCTGTGTGTGAGGAGAACACAGAGGAAAAGGCATAAAAAGTATGCATGACTCACTATTTATTCATTATTGAGAGAATTAGTGTTTGGGGGGTTGTTTTGGCTTTTAGCGTTTGTTTTAGTGGTACATTAATTATCACTTATATCTCTGTCTTCTGACCTATTTCACTTTCAATAATCTGTAATTAACATGCCTTTTCTAATTATAAATTGAAGTGCCACCCTTTTGACTTCAAAACCCTGTAACTGTAATTTCCTTTCCTCTACCCACTGTACTCTCTTTCTTTGTGTCCCTACACAGAGGGTGTTTTCGGCAGGTCCCCAGCAGGATGCACGGCTGCCATGGATACCAGCAACCCAGGCTGCAGGGGAAACTGTCAGGCAGAGGAACAAACAAATGATAGTTGAATAGCCAATCTTGTGTAGTGTAAACTCTCATCCTGCAGCTCAGGTCAACTATGCATATATTAGAAATTATTTTTCTGCCTCTTGCAGGTGTGACTTTGTATTTATATGTCTTTGAATAACCTTATTTGTTATTTCTAGGAAGTACAATTTTTTCATGTAATGATTACCTTTGATATTAGATTGCTTTAGAAACTGTAAAACCAGTGGTGTTTTTTTGAGGTTTAAGCCTATGAATCAGCAGAAGGAGCTAGTTGGTGAATTGAAGACTTAAGCGATGATCCATGATCCAGATGTACTGTGGTGTGTTTGCATATTCAGATTCTGCAAAATGAACAAGTAGGAGGTTGAAGACACATTTAAAAAGGGAAATAAAAGCAAAGTAAATACTCGAGTTTGAGGTGGTAGCATTGAAATGTACATGCTGTATGTGATATCAGCACTGTGCTCAGTGGCGAATAAACTAGCAATTTCCCCAAGTATGGCTTTGTGACAGAGGTAATGGAATTGTAGAATTGCACCTTTGGATTTTTCTATCTGGAGAACTTGTCAGTAGTGAGGGTTGAAAGTGGCAGATGCAGCACAAGTCTATGACTCTGAGAATCTTCAGGTCCTAGAGAAGTCTTTGAGATGATATTTAAGGTAGCTTCACAGTGTCTGTTATTGTTTCTCATTGCTCAGTGCATATGCAGGCTGAAGGACTGGGTTTTGTAAAGGCCTGTGATTCAAAAGATGTGGTTTATGATCTTGGCTTGGCTATGAGCTTCAAGTGAGTCTTTGTAACATCATTTTTTCTCTTCTGTTTCTTCTGCGCAATCAATTGGTATGGAATGCTCCTAGGGTCAGGCATGAATTCTAGCTACCAGCACATACAGTTCTGGCTCAGTGTGGCTTCAGGCTTGGTAGGGGCCTCTTGGCACAGCTGTAATGTGAATAATATTGCCATCGGCATGGTAACATTTTTGATGCATATTTAACCTTTCTCAAGCTTGGCCCAAGTATGCACGAGAGACTTCAGTAACATCTAAGGTGCTATAAGGATTGCGTCACTGGCTAAGTTTTTAAATCTCATTGAACGGCTGCAAGGATCCTTTCAGAAGCAGCAAAGCTCAGCGTGCACCAGTGTGTTATAAAGCAGGGAAAAAACAATCCAAGTGCTGTCTTGTATTTTTTCATTGAATCTATTGAAATTGAGTCCAGAGTAACTGTAGTGACGCTCTTCTGTATGCCTTCTCATCCTATTACGTGCCTTTAATATAGGGATTTATAAGGGGGAAGAGAGGAGTTTCTTTTGCTTGTATGTTTCTGGCATCAATTTAAGATGTGCAGGGAAGGAAGCAGATTTTAAAAAATCTGCATGGAGTAATTCTAGCTGATAGGTGACCAAAATTGTTTGGTTTGTGCCATTTATAGCAATTATGCATACAATTGGCAAGGTAGAAGTGTATTGTTATACATGTATATGTGTGTGTATATATATATATATACGTATATACATATACAAGCCATGTATATAGCAAGTTCAGTTAAGCTGACTTTTTAGCAATGTGATCTCCTAAGAAGGTCATGTATGCAAGCAGCTACTTAGCAAATTAGAATACTGTACATATGAGTCAAACAATAATGTTGGTCTCTAAGATTTAAATAAATCCTTGTGGTTTATTAACCTGTAGCCTCTCTATGGTTGCGATGTAGTGCTGCACATGTATGGCAGCATCACAAATATCACTAGGCAACTTATTAAAGCACCGTCACGCTTTTGATAGTATTGATATTCAGTCTTACGCATTATATAAAGCAAAAGATTATCTATGGGGTTATTAGTGGAGTGAAAAAAAGCATACAAGGAGGCTTTATGAACTGGTTTATACAATATGATTGCCTGAGAGAGCAGAGAATTGGACTCGATGACCCAGTTGATGTCTGTATTCAAGTAATGTTGATATTAATGATGATGAAAGTATATAAGAAATACCCACCTACTCTCACTTTCTGTTGGCATTTTTGTCAGGTTATCTGTAAAGATTTTTACTTCCATCCTTTCTTTTCACCTAACAGTTTTCTTTTTCAGGGATTGTATTGTTTGAACATCTCTGTTTTAAAATAAAGAAAGGGATCTTCCTTGCAGGATATTGACTTAATACTGAGACTTTGAATGTTTCTGTAAGAAATCTGTCTAAAACTTCAGAGTGGAAGCTTTCATGTTTTCTGCATCATGGAGAATTAACTTTATAAACGTGAGTGATGCTAGTTTGTAGTGTAGTTGCTGTTGCACGAAGGATGACTACATGAGTACACACAATTGCTTGTGTCCTGTCTTTGCCTGGCTTGCTGTTTCTCCAGTTGACCTGGAGAGAAATTACAAAGACGTGAGCTCAACGCTTGTGATAAATGGGATGTGCAGTCATTTTTTGCTAGTAAACTGAAGACTCCTATCCATATGAAACAGCTGACAAGCTTTTTTTTTTTTTTGCTATTCAGAGCATTGTCTGTAAGAAAACACACTTAGCCTCATATGGAAGCATTAACAGTGGACACAGGAAGGTAAAAGAGCTGCAATGGGATCCTAAGAATTTGGAAAATGTGTTGCTTAGCAAATATGATAAACAACAGAACTGTTTAGAACAGGAAGAGCAGTTGTTTAAAGCAAATATGTCAGATCCTCAGTGAAAAACTGGTAGAGCTCTAAATTTTTGTTTTAGAAGCGTTGCATTTTTCAAGGACTGTCTTATATGAGAGTCATTACAGTGTAAGGCTGAAATTGAAGGTATCAGGGAGGAGGCTGAGTATATTTTGTAGGGCTGCTACAGTGAGGAGGCCACTGTTATGACGTAGAAATTGTGCCTAAGCACAATTAATAATATGAAAATAAATTACTGATGATACATGACAAGGCTAAGCCATGGAGCAGATCCTCACCTGATGTAAACCAGCATAACTCCAAGTTAGTCAAAGGAGGAATACTAATTTGTCACAGCTGGCAGTTTATTTTGTTGAGCATGTATTTATTTTACATATTTTACAGGATCAGTGTTACTCATCTGTTCATCTCTATACTCCAGCCAAGATTCCCTCAGTTTGATACTTCTTCACTTTTTTGTGACATCCTTATTGCTTATGATATTGTGGCTATGCAGAGGATTGTAATTTAGAATGAGGAACAAGCAGCTGGAACAGAAGAATTCATGGCAATGGTGCTTAATGTTTTACAGCCTTTCATCTCAGATTCTTCATTCCGTTGGTGATAGCAATAGAGACTATAGAGCATGGGGAGGAGGCTGTAATGTTGAAATGGCAGCCTTGCTCAGAATAATGCCTGCTGGTCCATGACACCTCCTGAATGCAATGAAAGTCCAATTCCTGTATTAAGGAAAGAGTAATGGGGAATACCCATAAAATAGCAGCAAGACTATGCCTGAATTAGTTTGGGTTCTTTTGAAATATAATGGGGATATTTCTTCCAAGGCTTTTTTTTTTTTAAAAAAAAAAAGTAATGTGCTCCAAGCAGTGTCTCCAGACAGCAGTTATGTGGGATAAAAATCTCTTTGCATGCTAGCTGTTGAATAAAGAAAATGTTGTTAAAGTCTCTTTACAGGGGTGCAATTTCAAGGCAGGCACTGGACAGGTCAGAGATAAAATGGCTACTCTCAGACCTTTTAACATAATAGGGTTAATTACAGCCATTTGTTCCCCTGAGAAAACATATCAGACCTCAGTCCCCTGATGTCAGACTAGATTAGCAACATTTGATCTATTACAAATGTCTGAGCTCTTTTATGATTAATGCAACAGTAGATGCTTCATGTCATCATACAGCAATGTTAAACCAAGCAAACAAACAAACCAGTTGGTTACTAGACAGTCCTGAAAATTTAGTAGAAGGTATATTTTATGATGTGATGCTACTGGGACAGGCAGAGGATATTTCTGTAGAGATTTTCATAGCACAGAAGCAGATGTCCCCTGGGACCCTGGGAAGTTAGTTTGGACAAATAGTTAATTAACCAAGGGATGCTTAGGTCATTAACGAAGAGCCATTTTTATCAAACCAAAGTGATTCACAGGTGTAGGTCAAATATGTAAAATTGTTCAGTTCTAAGGTGTGCATTGTTTTTAAACTCTTAAAATTCAGTTGTAAATTCAAAAAAAAAGCATTAATGAAATGTAATTTTGGTGTCAAATATTAAATTTCAGAAGGAAAAATGTCTTTTTTAAAAAAAAAGATTTTTTTTTGTTCTAGATTGACATTTTTCCTCATTTTGTCTTTGGCCAAAGAGCAGCAAAGCAACGTTTCTGTGCGATCATAACAATAAGACAGCCTATAACTACTCCACATCTTCCACACTGTTTTTCAGCTGATGCAATTTGAGGAGACCTTCCTACCTACAGATAACCTGGCTGCCCTGCTCCCTGACTTACTACTGTCCCATGCATTTCCAGCACACCTTTCCTGCTGCCTCCTCTGCTTGATGGGTTTTCTACTGCTGCTGTTACCTCTGACACTGTGTCATTGTGTGAGAGAATGGTGATGGATATGGGGGCAGCAGTGTGAGCAGCCACTGCTGCAAAGGTGATGGCAGGAGATTGCAATTTGAGTGTTTCAAACTACAGGACATAACTATTTCATAGTGCTTAATCCTCTAGGTCCTTGTATTTTCTACTAGATTCTCCTTGGGGATTTTGTAAAAGCAGTAACAGTTCAAGGACTTTGCCTTTAGAGATGGCAAAAACTAGAAAACTGAGCCTGAAATTAGTTGCTCAGTTTATTTGCGAAGTTAACCTCCCTTTATCTGCTGATATGACAAGTGTCAGTGGTGTTCACCAGCAGCTTTCTAAGGGCTCACTGCAGTGTGGTCTCTTCAGTCACATACTGAGCAGTACTGGAAATTTCACTTCAGACTAATTTCTGCTGCTGTTTTCCATCTTGATAACATGGGTACAATAAATTCTGTGTAAACTGATTATCTCCCCCTCGGGCTGCTCTTTCGTTTGCGCTCTGTAAGCCCTGATGTGAAGCTTTGTTTCCCACAGATGTTGATTGTATTGTATTGCATCAAAAGGAAATGATCTCTGCTTCAGCTGAGATGAGGCTCAGTTTCAACATGCTTACATAGTGTTCACAAAAAGATTGCTCTTGATTTTGGGAAAGAAAAATAAAGATATACAGAGTCAGACACATACGCACAGCTGTCTGAGCGTGACTGTATAGTCTAATGCTTTTTTGTTTTTCAGTGTAAAGAGATTGAACTTCTCTTTCTGGTTTTGACAGGGAAAGGAATTACTGGGAAAGAAATTATATTCGGAAGAGTTTTAATTCCTTTGAGTGATCTGAAAAGCAGTATAAAATTCTAGATGATAGATGGCAAAGGGATACC